CTCTCTCTCTCTCTCTCTCTCTCTCTCTCTCTCTCTCTCTCTCTCTCGTGGTCACCATGAGTTGGGCAACTTTGCTCCACCAAGACAATCTGCCTCACCTCCAGAGCAATGGAGCCAACTGACCATGCACTGAGAGCTCTGAGGCCAGGAACCAGGCCAATCCTCCCTCCCTGGGTCTATTTTCCCCAGTATTCTGTCATAGCAACAGAAAGCTAACAGCAGATAAGAGCCAGATGTCTGCAACCTCTTTCCAAGTTGTTCTTTCCCCAAAATTTAGGCACAGACACACATACTGTTTTGGTCAGCTTTCTTGCTGCTGTGACCAAAAGACCTGTCAAGAACAATTACAGGAGGAAGATTTTATTTGGGAGCTCATGGGGTTAGAGGTCTCAGTCCTTAGATGGCTGACTCCATTCTTTGGGACTGAAATGAAGTAGAACTTCATGGTAAAAGAGTGTGGCAGAAAAAAAGTGGCCCAGGACATGGCCACCAAGAAGCAGAGAGCGCCCCACACTCCAGGGACAAAATATATTCCCCAAAGGCACACCTCATTGGCCCGCCTCCTCCAGCCACATCCTACTGTTACCACCAGCTAATCCCCATCAGGGATTATTGCACTGATTAGGTTAAAAGTATCACAACCTGATCATTTCATCTCTAAACTTTCTTGCATTGTCTCACACATGAGTTTTGGGGGGGACGCCTCTTATCTAAACACAATACATACACATACACGGACGCACACACGCACACACACGTGTGAAGAGGTGTGAACATGGACAGAGGTGGTACTACATATGTAAGAAAAGAAATATGCTTAGAGATTGTATTAGAGAGAAGATGTGAGCAAATGGAGCGAGATGCTAGCACCTGGTAAATCTGCTGAAGGTAAAGGAATTTCTTTGTATTATTCTTGCAACAATTTTCTAAGACACAATTTTATACCACAATAAAAAATCTGCAGCATTTCAATGGTAACACCACGTACCCGGTGTCATCGGAGCTGGCCCAAGGGGACTGTCATGCGGCAGGAAGGAATGTGCTCAGGGCCAGGTGCATGGACTTGTATACCCCGACTGGTGGTCACCTGGTTCTGGGCCGGGTGCAGCCTGGCCCCTCAATCCCAGGACCATTCCCCTGAGTTGTGCAGTGGTAGCCAGAGCCAGCACCAAGCCCCGCGACACCCAGACTCAGAGGGTGTCTTCCCCCTCCTTGTCCCCACCAGAAGGCCCACAGCTACCTCACTCGGAAGCAGGACCAGAGATGAGGAAGCAGACATCAGCCACTGTCACCACAGGTACTTCCCCTGACACAGTGGCTCACCCGGTGTCACGCACCCTCAGGCCCCACAGTGCTTGATTCCACCAGATTTCCACCCCCTTCACTCCAGGTGGTTGAGCTGGACCCACAGTAGAGTGGCCGCAGTTCATTCAGGGCTCCTTGGGCTCCAGGAAGCAGGTGGGCAGAGTGAACAGCCCACTCACAGGGACACATGAGGGCTCTGCAGACACCCAGGCCCCTCGGCCCTGCCCCAACCTTGGCTCTTCTCTTTTGAATCAGACCCTGGTACCCTGACACCCCCGCTCTGCGCCCCACTCTCTGTGCCCTCTCTGCAGCCTGACGGCCTCCTAGCCACCCCTTCCTAGATGATGGGTAAGTCGGTCTTAGCCTCTCACAGATGTCTCCCCCTGTACCCTCACTCCTTGCCATTGCCAGACCAGACAGGTTGTGGCTCCATGCTGATCCGTGATGACTGTGTCCAGAGCCCTGTGGGTACAGCACGCGGCGGAGCCGAGAAGCTACTCCTGGAGTCAAGGAGAATGAGGGCCAGGCTCTTCCAGGAGTGCCCCAGGTCACAATTTGAGCATCCCCCGGAGCTTGTGCACCATGCTGCTGAGTCAGAATCCATAGTGTCAAGGCCTCTAGGGGACTCCCATGTCCACTGATGTTTAAGAAATATTGGTTTAGCATGATATTTGCTATGGGGAAAAGAGGAAAGGGAAGAAAGGGGCAAAAGTTTTTATCGAGGTGTTAGGCCCAGGGAGCAATTACTAAAAGCTCAGACACAGGTTCTCAACACACACCCATAGCATGTCCCACTCCATCTGCCCCTGGGCTGTGGCAGGGGCTGACTTGCCCGGCACAGAAAGGTGATTGCCCTCAGGCAATCGTGGAAGGGAGCAAGCACTGCACCGAGTGATCCCAGAGCCCGCACAGGGAGCAGGCCTCCTGTCACCCTGCCTGTGTCACCCAGACATTCCAGCACTGGCAGGCCACACGGAATCAGCACGGAGCAGTCCAAGAGCAATTGCCCCGCCAGGGGTGGGGACCTGCCACTGAGTGGTCCTTTGCCTGGTTGTAAATCGGCCCTGGCAGAGCCAGCCAGTGACCTCACACCTGGCCTGCATCTGGACTTTGTGGTAAAGACCTAAATAAAGTGAGGTGAGGCATTTCCTCCCGAGCGTCACTGAGACAGCGCAGTACTCAGGAAATGCAGCGCAGCGGTGATGACTTCAGAATCTTAAAATGAAATCCAGTCAGCCAAACCGAACTCCCCAAGGTCTCTTCTCAGAGCTCGACTTTGCTTCACTTAGCCCGAGAGTCTGTGGACGCATGACAGGTCTGTCCGCAGGTGAGAGACGGCGAGAGTCCTCGGAGCACCAGCCAGCCTGCAGTGCACTCATCTGGAGTGAGCCCTGGAAGGCCAACAGTGCCCCAGCAGATGTGGGAGCCAGCAGCTCCTCTGCTGTTTGGACTAGAGGCATTTAGCCCCAATTCTGGTTTCCCAGAATTCTTCCCTCCCAGCCCGGCCTCTGGGAAACCAAACATTGTCCTCACTGACACAGGCTCCGAGTAAACAGTGCCATTCAAGGTCCCAACGCACTTCAAGTAAACATGGATGAGCAGTTGCCAGTTTCCAACTCCTGACCTTTGTTTTAAGGACAAATTTTTGAGACCATGACCCCCACCCAGCCTTGACCCAAATCTGCCGAAATGGCTTGTCTTTTGCATCTGCATTTAGAAGCAAAGAAGGAAAATAGTCAGGTGGAGGCTGAGCAGAGACACTGCGTGAATGCCTGGGCTGCTGCACTTGGGGCTGGGGGATGCTCAGCCAAAGGCGCCTGCGGTGCCACCTCAGGCTTACAGGGAGAGGACATCGTGTGGTTTAAGCCAAGGTGGGCTTGAAGATTGCAATGGTGTATCTGTAAAAAGGCTCCCAAAACTACCTCAAGTCACAAAGCAGTGGTGAATCTGGATCCTTTGGGAAGTCAGGACAAGGATGAGGGATATTACCTAACAAGATGAAGCGCTGTGTAGAAGGCAAACGCTTCTAATTCTACTTGGTCTTCTTTAGCTTACATATCAATTAATGTGCCAGTCAGCTTTTCATTACTGTAAAACAATACCTGAGACAAATATACTTAAAAAGGAGAAAGGTTGATTTTGGCTGACAGTTCTGGAGGCTTCAGTTCACAATTAACAGGCCCTATTACTTTGGGAACTGAGGTGGCAGAGTATACCACCAATGGGAGCAGAGGAGCCCTGTTCATCTCACAGCCAGGTGCAAAAGGAAGGAAGTAGAAGAGGCCAGGGCCCCCCAATCCCTTGCAGAGGACACACCATGACCTATTGACTATGCCCCAGCTCCCGAAGCTCCCAGCACCTCCCACAGCACCACACTGGGCACTAAGCCTTTAACACTTGGGCCTTGGGGGGACATTCCAGACCCAAGCCACAGCAATTAGCTTCCACTCCACGGTGGTCTCTGAGGACAGCGAGGGCCATGGAGCTGTTCGAGGTGACTGCCCTCTGCTTCCTAATGAGCTCATGCTGCCCTGTCCCTCTTTGCTGCTGGCTGAGCAGCAAGCCTCCTGCCTCCTGCGTGCTCCCATGGGATGTGTCCTGGGGAGGACAGCAGGGGTCATGCGAGGCTGAGTCAGACCTGACCACATGCAGAGCTCGTAGGGGTACATGCACGCACATGTCCCCACTTCAGCCGCTCTGTGCTCCGCACCACCAGTCCCAGCCACCAAACCTGGTGCATTGGAAGGCTACTGACTAGACTCCTCTGGGCCTTCCCCCATCTCAGGCCCCTGTGCATGCAGGTGCCTGGTGACAGACACCAGGCACAAGGGACCCTGGAGCTCAGTTATTCTAAGGGGATTTCACAAGGTGGATTTTCCCCTAGTGGGCGGGGAGGGGAGAGTGTCCAAAGCACAAGGGAGAGTGTCGGAAGCCTTCAGGTGGGGAGTGAGTAACCCCTCTGTCTCTCTCACCAACTCTCAGAGGAGCAGCAAAGGGAGAAGGCAGTGGACATGCCTGGACCTAGCTGTCCGGGTCCTGGAGCACGGTGGTGGTCAGCCCTGAGGGTCTGCTCTGGGACATTTCCTTTACTCTGTCCCTGCCACCTCCCACTGCCCCACCGCAGCCAGTCTCTAAGAGGCCTCTGAACCCACAAATCCTCCTACAGGCAGGGCCAGGCCCTCAGAGGCAGTGTGGAGAGGAGAGGGGTCCATGTGGCTGGGTTCCCTCTCCCTAATGGGAGGAACTACATTGTGTGTGTGTGTGTGTGTGTGTGTGGTGCTGGGGATTGAACCCAGGGCCTTGTGCATGCGAGGCAAGCACTCTACCAACTGAGCTATGTCCCCAGCCCCCTGATGGCAGGCACTAAACAGAACCAGAGGAGTACGTGGAGCAGGACTGGGCAGAAAGACAGCCGAGCCTGAGACAGGTTGAGCCTGGACCTCCTCGTGAACATCCCAGGGTTCTAAAGTCTAGAGGGGCACAAGGAAACAGCACCATGTCATGTACTGAGTTATCAACACCCGAAATCAACTTCTTCCTCCTCCCTCCTGCCAAGCCCAGGCAGCAGCTGCCAGGCTGGAGTGCGACCAGGTAGTAGAACCCAGGGTGACGGCAGGAATGGGCACATGCAG